GTGGTAGCTGCTCAGGGTAAATGCACGGCAGGACCGGGACCCCCGCCCCTGTCTCCCATCCTCCTTGGCCGCCTCATCTGCTCCCTGACCAAGGTAGCACCATGCTGCAAAGAGCCCAAAGGGCAGCATCCATCCCCCCACCTCCTCCAGAATGGAGGCAGCCCTTAGTCCCCCTCACTGCCCCTCTGCCCCAGAGCGGGGGTCCCATGGTGCCCAGCCAGGCGTGGGGCTGTGAGGAAGCAGCATGGACCCTTTTGGGGCTGTGATCCCAGGAACCTGCCAGAGCCAAGGCACGGGGGACAGGGGACAACACACCCTGGGAAGGAGGGGACACTCCCACAGTGACATGGACTGCATCCCCTGTCTGCCCCGCGCTGGCGCGTCTCCCTTTGAGGACCCCGATTGCCCCGGAGCGGCGGGGTGAGCCTGCGCGGGCACCGTGGGGTCCCGTCATGCCGGCACCGTGCAGGTGCCTGGGTTTGGGCACCACCCCAGAGGCAGCCTCGGGGCAGATGCCAGCCTGGCCTGAGGGACGGGTCACCGAGCCCCTTCGTGATGGGTCACTGGGTGACGGTGCTGCCATGGCCCATGCCAGGAAGGACCTCCCCACTCCTCCCAGCAGCCCTCCGTCAGCCAGCCAGGAAACTAAAAGCTCTCTTTGTTCTTTCACAAGCAACTAAAGTAACCGTAACCGGGAAAATCCTGAATTTCAGCACTGGTGCAACAGCTCCTGCAACGCCGCTTCTGGGGATTGCAGGCACTTCCTTCTTCCGTGAGACCAGACGCTGTTTACCCTGCGGTGTCTGCAGCCTTCGAAACCACCACCTCGCCCAAGCCAACCGCAGCAGTGTTATCCGTGCAGCTCGGCATGCCGCAGCGCCGGGGTGGGCGGAGGCGGGGAGCACAGCACTATAAAGCCAGCAGCCCTGGCACCGTTCTCCATCCTGCTGGCGAAGCTGGAGGAGGCTGCAGCAAGATGAGGACTGTGGGGCTGAGCCTGGGGCTGGCCCTGCTCTGCTTGCTGCATGTGGAGGCTGAGGACCTCAGGGCTGCGGCTGACAAGAGCAAGGTGATCCACAGCATCTTGGGGAAGGGGAGGTGGGAGCATGGCCTCTGGTCATCTCCCCAGGGTGGGGACTGGAGAGATGTTTTGGTACTGGGGACAGCTGGGGACCCTGCAGCCACCGCTGGCTCTACTGTCACACACAGGTGAGGGCAGCCACCCAGCTCCAGCGTAGGTGCCCCAGCAGGGATTTTGGTGCCTAGAGGGGATGCGGGTGTCCCATGGCCTAAGGGTGTCCTGGCTTGCTCTCTGCGGAGGGGACAGCCCCTCCCTGCTCCTCCAGACTTACAGCCCGCCCTCGCTGCTAGATTGCAGGGAAATGGCACATCATTGCTCTGGCCTCTGACTCCGAGAGCTACCTTCGAAAGAAGGACGAGCTGAAGATGGCAATGGCCAACATCACGGTCCTGGGGGACGGCGACCTGAAGGTCTCTTTTGCAATTCCCACGTAAGTGTCAAGCGCTTTTCTCCATGGGCTTCACTGACCAACCTCCTCCCTGGACCTTCACCAACAGGTCTTCGCCTGGGTGCCTCCACCCAGCACCCACCAAAGACCTGGGCAGGGGCTGAGGCTGGGCCACCAGCCCCACGGTTTGGAAGAGAGGCTCAGGAGAGCTGTATCCTGGGGACGCCTTCTTCAGGGCAGGCCAGGCAGGCTCAGGGCAGCACCAGCCAAGAGTGGTCCCATCATGGAGGCTGAGACACCCCACTGCTCCCAGCCAGGGACGCAGCAGGATAATAAGGCACTGTATGATTAAAGCTTTCCCAGCAGGACCAGCCTCATACCACCAGCTCAGAGCATGAGCAAGGGAACGGCTGTGTAACCCCGTGTAACCGCTGTGCCCTGCCAGCCCAGGCACCCATTGCTCCAGGTGCCAGGTGCTCCAGCCCCAGCCACACCCACACCATCCCATTCCCAAACAACAAGTCCCACATTTAGGGTAGTGACCCTGGAGCCAGTGTCCCCAGGGGAGGGGAAGGGAGGGTCACTTCAACCCAGCCAGAGCATCCTTGACTGTTTTGCAGCCTGGAGGGATGTAAGAAATCGGTGTCCATCTACAAGCAAACAGGCGTCCCGGGTGAATACTACAGCTCTGGTGAGTGGGGGGAGCCAGGCCCCTGGGATGGGGCAGAGGCACTTCCGACACCCCTGTCTGAAGCAGCCAGCTGTCCCTGGGGACATGGCCCTCAGGAGTGCCTGTCTGCCTCTCCTGAGGCCCTGGGGTGGGACATGACTCTGTGGCCGGTTGCCAGCTGCCCCCCAGGGCTGGTCCACGCCAGAGCTGGTGTCCCAAGCATGGCAGACCCTCCCTCTCCCTCCCTCTGGGAAGCTGCTCTGGGGTAAGACACATTCAGACTGAGCTTAAACCCTGGGGAAAAGCAGGTTCATTCTGCAATGGGGCCGTGGATGGATGTTCCCAAGGGATGAAGCAAGAGTGATTTCCCACCATCCCCAGCCCAAGTGTTAGTCTGACCCTGGCCGGGCTACTCTGCTGTCTGCAGTGACCATCCCCGAACCCTCCTGCGTTCGCGTTCACGTCCTTCTGCTCTGCTGTGATCTGTGGGCTCCCCCAGGCTTTCAGAGAAGCCTCAGCAAGAGGAAAAACCAGGAGGGGGAGACAGAGAAGAAACGCAGGCGGAGTGGCCCTGCCCCTTGGCATCCTGCACAGGGCTTCACACTTACAGCCCTTTTGCAGTGTGGAAGCTCTCAGGAGGAGGTAATTAATTTTTCACTTTCCTCCATGTCCTTTTGCAGAAAGAGGCAATAAAACAGCGCAAGTGGTGGATACCGATGGCAAGACATACGCAGTTATCTTTGCCTCCAGAGTGAAGGACGGGAAGACCCTGCACATGCTGAGGCTCTACAGTGCGTAGCCAGTGGCGGTCTGACCGGGGTGAACTGCTCGGAGGTGTCGGGGTTCTTTGCAGTGTCCCAAGAGGACAGGAGTCAGGGGGCCTGCGGAAGAGACCCCCTCCTCACAACTGCCGGCCTGCTGGGACCTCTTGCCCTGGGTGGGGTGCAGGAGCGGGGCTGGGGCTGCTGCGTGTCCCCTGTGCAGCAGGGGAAGGGGCAGCGATTTGGGGCTGGCAGGGGAGGCTGGGGCTCTGGTTTCTGTGCTGTGCGGGGAGCCCATGGCCTTGGGTAAGTTGCTGGGTGAAATGGGGCAAAGAGCGGGGGTCCTCGCTGCAAGGGGGGCAGAAATGGTGGGGATGGGAACCAAGAGAGGAGAGGCTGTGCTGGTGCCAGGACCACTGCTTCATCTTGTCCCCTGGGAGGGGTGTCTCGTGTGCCTGCTCTCTAGAATCTCCACCACTGCTTCCAGCCTTCTCCCAGGGATCGGCATCCATCCCATCCTCACCTGGGCGCACTCGCCAGTCTGCCCAGGGGATGCAGGGACCAGCCACAGCCTGGAGCTAACTTGTGTCTTTGCCTTTAGGCAGAACCCAGGAGATGAGCCCCAAAATCACTGCTCTATTCAAGAAGCTTGCAAGAGAGAAGAGCTTCACTGACGAGATGATCAGGATGCTGCCCAGCCAGGGTGAGCACTGCCCAGCACTGTGTTGGGCTGGTTCAGCTGATATGGGGAGCCAGGATGTGCTGGCAGGGACCAGCTCAGCCCATCGCTGCCACCACTTTGTGGCTGAGCTGGTGGGAGAAGGTGCTCTGGCTTGGCACTTGCTCTAGTTCATTCCTGGGCTGTCTATTTTGGGTGCTAAATGGGACTAGGCAGACCACAGCCCTGGACTCAGTCTTTCTTTTTATTTTCACAGAGGAATGCAGCCTCGATGAAGCATAGGTGAGTTGTTGCAGTGCAACATGGTGTTTGCAACGTCCTCAGCTGGAAATTACCCCCCTTTGTGCCCTGACAAGGGCCACCATTAACTCCTCAAATTACTCTGGAGGCCGAGTTGTTTGAATGTGTGCTGGAGCTAGCACCCAGGTAGGATCATTCCCTTTGGAGCTGCTCTGCAGTGGGGACCCCCAGGGTGCAGCTGCCCGGTGGTGAGCAAGGGCACTTGAACCAAAACCACCATTTCAGTGGAGAAACGGCTGCAGAGCTCACGCAGCACCGGCTCTTGCCAAAAGGACCTTGGGGTTGTGGACCGGCAAAACCAGCCAAAGGCTGGGTTTGTGTCTCACAACGCAAAACACGGTTGTTGTTGGCCCACCCTGGTACGTGATTTCTCACCACACCAGTACACATTCAGCTGTAGGGGTCAGCAAGAAATCCATTGCTGGAGGTGGCTCACGCTGCAGAGCTGGGGAGAGCTGGAAGAGAAGGCACTGATCCTGATGGAGAGCTTTGCTTTACCCTCTCTGTTGGCCTCCTCACCCCAAATACTCAGCCCACCTCTCCTGACTGTTTTCTAGGAGGTGTGGGCTGGCTCTTGCTGAGCGATGCAAGACCCACACTCTGAAGCTCCAGGCTGCTGCTCCACCATCCCTTTTCCAAGCTCGGTGGTCAAGGCTCTGACACGTCCCCTGCTCCTCCAGCACACAGTCCCTTCTTTTGCCAAATAAACAGAAACTCACTCCAGAGATTGGTGTAGCTGTCTGGGGAAAACCTGGGGTGCTCAGGCATGTGGGCCCTTCTGTTGTTCTCCTGGGCTCTGTGGATGGTGAGCAGCCACAGGAGCCATCCTGGGCTCAGCTCGCCCAAGCCAGGGCATTTTCAAAGCCCACCAGACTTTTCCTTCCTGGGTGCCTCCAATGGGGTAGGGCCCACGGCCGGGCAGAGGTGAAGCAAGGGATGCAGTGAGGCTGGAAGTCCAGAGGGGACAAGGGACTGGGTGGAGAAAGGCCGTGGGACTTGGCCACAGAGGCTGAAGTTGGGGTTTGCAGGGCTGTGACCACTGCCACCATGCAACTCACCTTCCCTCCACTCTCCTGGAGCTCCGCTCATCCACTAGCTCAGGCTGGGCCAAGGCACAGGCAAGACTCAGCTTGGGGACCTCTCAGCACCACGGTGCTGCAGGGCTGGTGGAAGGTGGAAGGTGGGTGTCTGAATCCTCGGGACCCAAACCTGGAGAGCTGGTGCAGGGCTGCGTGTGGTCTCTGCCCCTGGGCACCATGCAGAGAAAACCCATCCCAGAGCCAGATTATCTGGTGGTGGTAGACATCAGCCTCCAGAGATTGTCTTGCTTTGAATTTATATTTCTGAAATCCCACTCCATTCTTCCCTTCCTACTCTGTTCAGCTCCCAAAATCCACCTGGGAGCAACCACAGTGTGCCCAGGGTAAGCCATGTCCCCAGCCAAGCCCCAGCACCTCAGGCGTGCTCATCTCCAAGGGCTCGGCCAGTGCTTGCAGGCACTGAGGTCTGGCAGGGTATGAAGCAGCTTGTGCCTCTCCTGGAAAAGAAAGATCCTCCAAAATCCTCTCTGCTGGCCTTTCCACCCTGCCTGTCCCTGGCCAGCCTGGCCAGTCACCCGGGCAGTTGTTTCAGCCCGGGATCTGCTTCACTGCCACATGACATAGCAGGTACCCCTGGAAGGTGTCATCCCAGCAGCTGGGTGCCTCGGGATGTTCCTCCTTCCAGGGACCGGGAAAATGCATTTGGGAAACTGCCCCTCCTGATCCTGAGGATCATAAGAGCTGGATACATCCCAGCAGCGGCAGGACAAGGGACTTCACTGGGACTTCCCGACCCAGCATCATTTCCACCCTCTTTGGAAGGAGCCCAGCCTTTCCAGCGGGAATTCTCCCCGGCAGTTCAGCATTTGCCATGCTCCAAAGCACGGCTAGGCCCACACGCAGCTTTGTCTCAAGGCTTGTTTTTGGTACATGTATTGATGCAGATGAAAACATCCTGCTGCCAGCAGCGCCCTTCACCGAGGGCTTTGTGTGGCGGGGAGTCCCGGTGTCTCCCTATCATGTCCCAGCCAAATATTCCTTCCTGCCATAAGCAGGCGTCACGCTGCCAGACAGCAGTGCCATCATTTCTCTCCACCACCTGCATTTTCCACTCCTTTTGTCCGTCTGTTTTCTCCCTGTGCCTCGGAGCAGGATGCACACAGGCTGCAATTTCAGCTCTTTTCTGGGTGTGAGTCCCCTCTGTGCAGAGCAGGTGGGGGGTCCCCACCGCAGCCGCCCCGATCCCTCAGCCCTCTCACCAAGCCCGTCCCTGTACCGGCTGCACATCCAGTGCTCATCGCACCGTGCAGCCCCTCTCCCAGCACCCTGCCCTCAACAAAGGCAGGTACAGGGGCGAGGAGAAGCATGCAGGGACAGGGTGAAAGGAGGGTTGTACCTGCCTCCTCTTTATCCCCCCAGCAAACCTGGCTAGATGTTGTCATACATTGTTAATGACATGGGACTTTTCTTCCCTGAACGTTTCTAAGGGCTTCCTGGGCTGAGGCACCTTCTCGGCACTGGTGACATCCTGCAGCAAGGAGCTTCACCACCCATCTCTGTGCTCCCTTTCACTTGTCGCAGTGGTTTCACTTGCAACATCTTGGCCGGGCGCTGCGGGAGCGCGCTGCCGAGACGGGCTGGCAGGGACCGGGTTGGTGCAGCCCAGGCACCGGGGTCCCAGCTGGCTGCTGGAGAGACCAGGGGGGTCTTGGAGCAAGGAAGGTGCTGGACTGGCCTTTGATGTATAAGGAGCTATTTGGAGACTCGCAGCTGATGGCTGCGGCACTTGATGATGATGCAGAACTATCATCTTCTCTATTCATCCTCTTCGTGATGTTCCAGTTCTTAAATCTTTAACAAGTCTCCTTGCTCTCCCAGCTGTGCCTCTCATCCTTCTCTCTCCCTCCCCTGCTTAGGCCATGTCCCTTCTGGGGCTGGGTGACCAGGCCTGGACCTCTACCCACCCAGGAAGGCGTGGGTACAGCCTGGATTTACATGGTGCCTTGTCTTGTTCCTCGATCTTCTAACTTCTCCTCGTGCTGCATCTGCCACTTTTGGCACCTGCTGCGTGTGGATGAGATATTTTACAAGACATCTGTTGGCACAGTGAGGTCCCTGGATGATCTTCCTCCCTCTTTCTCTCTCTCAGCCACTCATTTATCCAAGTGAGGACCTTCCTCCCTAACCTATAGCAGCTTGTCCCCTGCAAGCTTTGATGAAGACAATTCCCAGCTGACCAGGGAATGTCCGACTCCCATATCTTGTTGACTCTTCCAGAAACTGTATTTCTGAGCTGTGATTTTCCTGTGCAAAAGTTGTATTCATTCTCCCCTGTGATATAATTTGTCCATATGTCAACCAGGTCTGCCATTTATTATAGCTTTTGTATCTGCCTGCTCTGCATAGCAGATCTACTTGTCTGTAGTTTCTTCACCTCCAACAACCTCTTTAAAAGGCAGCATATTTGCTTCTTCTAGTCTTCTGGTGAAAACTAGAAGTAGCAAAGGTGAGTCCAAGCAGCAGATGACACTGTAGTGAAAAGTTTGTTTCACACCTGATTTACTTTGATTGGAAATGTCATGTCCTCTGTCTTACTACTCACTTGCACTTCTGTATTGGTAGGACAGACCTTTCCAAGTTTGCAAAAGAGATTGTCTAGCCCAGCGATCCACCAAAGCTCCTCCTCAGCCAAGGCTGATGTGAAGTTTCTTCACTTTTCCATCAGCTTTTCTCTGAATACTCACTCTGAATTTGACTGGCTACCAGCCGAACATTTTCTAGTGTTATATTCCTGCTCCCAATGCCTTTGAAGAAAGGAATATATGTAAGTTCAGATGTCATTCTTCAAAGTAAAGGAGTAAGGGGACAAATTCTGGTGTCTTCACTGTTTGTCTGATTTTGTTGCCAGTTAACTTACCAGGGGTCATTTTGCTGTCGTCATGTGGATGCAGCTTCAGCAGGTTTAAGAACATTTATCTTATTTCTGATCAGCTCCTTTAAATTGATTTAATTGTGCTGGCTTCCATTTAGGCTTTCCCTTTGTAACGTTGTTGAGGGTTTGTATTTGCTAATATCAGCTTAAGCCCTCGGAGTGAATCTAAGCTGGTCTTTCCAGACAATCTGTGTGCCGTATGCGACATTTAATCCTCTTGACTTTCAATTTTTTCCCCATTTAAAAATAAAAATTGACTGTATCGGATTGCCTCTGGTTCTAAGCGTAGCACTGACTGTCACGACAATGGCTTTTTGATTTCAGCCCCTGATCCAGGTCCTACTTGCTGCCCGGGACCTGTGGGCTCTTGGCCATCCCAAAAACCTGAGCCCACGGGTGCCCATCCAACCTGCCTGGAGCAACCATGTGTTAGAGCTTCATGGATGTCCCTTTGTTTGTGACAGACACTGGCACCACTGTCGCAGCTGGCAGTACGGTCACCACAGCCGGAATCACTCCAACGACATGCAGTCATCAGGTCTTGTCCGTCTGTCTTGGATGGTGTACAGTGAGACCATGGGGTTCCCCAAGTGCCACTGGATGTGCCAGCCCAGCTGAGCCTTTCCTCACCTTCCAGCCTCAGGGACAGCCCCTCGCCAGCATCTGGGCGATGGGCATTGGCTCTTGACAGCACAGGTATAAACAATTTGAACTCCCACAGGTCAGGAGTGAGTCACCTCTAAATTGCCAATTACTGCTTGTAGACAGCTCTGCGCTGGTCTGAGCCCCACGGAGGAATAAACACTGCTTTTGCTCCCTAGTTTGGGAAGGGGCAAATATAGCTCCTGTCTCCAGGCACTGCAGTGGCACAACAAGACCCCTGGAGCCTTTTCAGAAGTTAAGACTGCAGAAGTTCAGAAACTTTTAATAACACCAACTGAGACCCATTAAAAGTGAAGAAAAAAACTCAGTGCTGCTGGGGCAGCGAGGTGCCCTTTCGGGCCACGGCT